AGCCCCCGGGCGTGCGGCGGGTCCAGCCACAGGGTTCACGCAGCCTCGGGAAGCTCAGGAACTTTCCTCCTGCAACAGGTCGGGCTCAAATCCCGCAACACCCACACAGAAGCAGCAGCGCTGAGACTGCAGCTGCCCCAGGGGCATCACATTCCGGCCAGCGCGTGCGAAGGAGCAGCCTGCAGGAGACTCATGGCCCATCTCAGCGTGGCCCGCGGCCGCTGGCTCAGCCACGCACAGAGAAAACTCAGCGACAAAAGCCCCCAAAATTAATACACAGAGTGGGGGGACTGCAGGAGGCAGGGGCCCCACAGTGTCAGGAAGCGGGGCGCCCGGGTCGCCCAACCCACCCGCCCGCCCGGGACAGGGGGACCCTGCCTCAGCCATGGGCCCCCAGCCACGGTGCCGCTGCCCGCGAGTGGCCGGGCCAGCGACCCTTGCTCCTTGGGGCCCGGCCAAGGAGCTCGGATCCGGTCGGCTCCCCACTGGCCTGCGGCAGGAAGGCTTGGGTGGGGGCAGGCGGGAACAGCCGGCTGGGAAAAGGATCCGAGCGGCCGACAGCCCGGTCGTGAGGCCAGCCCGTCCCACGGGGCCGCAGCGGAGCCTGGTTCCACAGGGGCTGCCAGGCAGCGCGGGTGCCCCGTGCACTTCGCCAGGAGGCAGGGGCAGAGCGGGCCCCATGCAGCAGAGCTGCTGTGCTCTTACTGGGCGGCTGCCAGCACCAGGGAAGGGGCAAAAAGTGCTGCCTGGGCACCGCCTGGCTCCCCAGCGGTGGTTTGGCACCAGCACAGGGCACAGGTCAGGCACAACGCAAGCTGCAACTTGTGGAGCTGACGCACAAAGCGCTGGCTGAGGACTTACACAACTTGCTTCAGGAGCTCGAAGCAAGGCCCCGGGGACACTGTTACAGGGGGGAGAGCCACCGCACTACCTTTGAAGCCTTCCTCGTCCAGCATGATGGTGTAGTCCTCGGGGGTCTCCGTGAGGCTGAAGAACTTGCACCTGCCGGGAGAAACGGGGGGCTGCGGAGGGCGCCGGGAAGGGAGCAGCGGCCCCAGGGAAGCCCCGCGAGGATGAGGACGGGCCGGGGAGGAAGGCGCCGCGGGTACCTGCAGCGCTGGGGCAGGAAGAGCAGCTTGACGAGGGGGTGCGTGTAGAGCCAGAGGCCGCGGCGCGCCACGCTCAGCACCCGCACGCGGTGCTCCAGGATATGCAGGTCCATGGCGGCCCCGCCGCCCGTGC